TATTGTTGGTACGACTGTCGCCAGTAAGCTCAGTACAATCTTTCTCGTTATCAGCATATTGAGACGGCTTGCCAAAAACATTTTGTTCAATTATTTCTTCAACAAAATTTATAAATTTGTTATTTTTTGTGACATCTTTTGGCAGTGCGCTGCTCTCAACCGCGGACAAATTCGTGATATCAATTTGGATATCATCGTCAATTTGGATATCTTCGTCAATTTGGATATCATCGTCAATTTGGATATCATCGTAACTCAAACCATCATCTTCCTCGCTGTTGATGAAAATTTTTCTAAGTTTTTTCGTTGCTGGCAACTTTTTTCTTTTTCCATGGTATTTTACCGTAACTTTTTTGCTCAACTTGGACTCATTAACATTTTTTCGTTGGCTCCGCCTCTCCGGATCGCTATTTATAGAAACAGAGATGGATTGGGAGAATTGCTGCGGGGAGGGCTCAGAAACACCCTTGGCTTTTTTTATCTTGTTCAGTTCCATCGTCATGCTGTGCTTCGTTAAGTTCGACTGCCTGCCAATGCGGCTTTCTAAGGATCAAATTCAACATCGGTCGGTCAATTTGTAGCGTGAAATTAAAAAAGTATTGAACTAAGTACGTATGCTATTTAAAAGTTACTGTAAAATTATCCATAATTACATTAATTATGAAAATTATGAATAATAATTAGCAGTACTTGACAATCATCATCACGTAGTCACATCATCATCATTACTCTTCTTACCATTCTCTCATCATAGTATCAAAATCCCATTCTGATAACCATTATTATCACTATCATCATCGCCGTTACCATCCATTTTTTCATCTTCCTCCTCATCATCACCATCATCATCATCATCATCATCATCGTCGTCGTAAAAACCAGCGTCATCATCATTTGTTACTCACTATCATATCGCATGCCGACTGCAAGGCACTTGAGGTAGCGGCATCTCTTGCACATGTTCCTCTTCTTCTTCAGCAGTCTGCACATTCCCAATCTCGCATCTTCATCATCGCCATTGCCATCCTCACCATTGTTGTCACTCACATCGCTATGAACGTTACTTGTAGTAGTAGCAGAAGCAGCAGCAGCAGTAGCAGCCGAAGTAGTGGTCGTAAATGTTGTACCATAATTTATCAAAGCATTTCTACTAGGAAAAGTATTACAATTAGTTTTAGTAGTAGCAGTAGTAGAAGCAGTAGTAGCAGTAGTAGAAGCAGTAGTAGCAGTAGTAGAAGCAGTAGTAGAAGCAGTAGTAGCAGTAGTAGAAGCAGTAGTAGCAGTAGTAGAAGTAGCAGTAGCAGTGTCGCCGACAACTACCGCACTTTCACCATCGGCAGCTTTTCTTTTGATGCTTATGCATTGGTACAGCTCTATGTTTCTATCCAAGATGCAACGCCGAAAAAATCCCTGGGGGAAACAAAATTAACATCTCTTTTACAAATCGGCGGTCAATGTGAGTAAAATGTAATAAAACGTCTGAGGTCTGACTCGCGACGAAACTTGCTATCTAGTATTACTGAAGATTTTTTTTTATTTTCAGCCAGCCGGCGACGACTCTATTTGAGGAGTTCCAAATTAGTTGTGTTAAATGGAAGAATAAAAAAATTCTTAAAATAAAGTTCATTTTAAAATCAAAATTAAATTTTTTAGTACTTTTTCTCAGACTTATTCTGTACAACAAAAACGAAGTATTTTCCTATTAAGCACATCTACACACCACACACACACACACACCACACACACACTCACACACACACCACACATACACACACATAAACACATGCATAAGCATTCACAAGCATATGCATACACACACGTACGCACGCAAACAACCGCGTGTGCATATACACGAGCAGCGAGTGCAGGCGTACAAAAAGGCTTAAAGCCACTGGCTTGGCTTCACTCAAAAGCACTGCATCATAAATAATTATCCTCGTTCTATGGGGATTTTACGATGAAATAAGTTGAATGTTCAGCAGTTACCTTGCACCTTTCACAGGTGATGGCGCCATAATGGAATCCTGACGATGGAAAGTCGCAAACTTTGCAGGGGATGTGCTTTATGTCTTTTGAAACATTTGCACTTCCTGAGGACGAAATGAAATTTATCTAGCACTCAGACGATTCTTTCAAAATTTTACGACAAAGCATCAAAACAAGAACAAAAATTAAAAAAAATAAATTTTCGAAACAATTTTCTTGAGGACACTGACCAGGTGCGTACATATTGAAGGAAAGACATTTGTTGTATCTACACTGAGGGCACTGAGTCCTGGTCTCCTTGGTCACGTGGCACTGACCATCGGATGGACAAGGGTTGAAGTCACGGCTTATCTTAGACCTCAATGACCGAATGAAGAATTTCTGTGCAGTTGTTGGGGTTTTCATTTAGAATGGTTAATTCCAAAATACTATCATTGTACAAAAACGTGACGCCAGAAATTTTGATAGTTAACAAGGAGTTTATTATTATACGTATTAAAAATTTATAAAAACAACTTTTGAAAAATTTCTCTACTAGGGAGGCACGCTCATACCGAAGATAAATTATCTTACGTTAATATGTGACAGATCAAAGTAATGTTTAATAAAAATAGTTTGATGACAATTTTTTATTCATTACTTTCATTCTATTTAGTTGAGACACACACACACGCACGCACGCACATACACACACGCGCACACACAGACCCACATACACACACACGCACACAAACAAACACACAAACAAACACACACACACACAGACGGCAAAATTCACGATGTCGATCGATAAACATTAATTGAATAAACAATAATATATCAAACAAGAGCACATGGCTATGTAGCAAAAAGTTTAGAGACATGTGGAGGATGTCACAAAATGAGTTAAAATTTGAAACGAAAGTGAAACAAGAACTTAGGGTCAGTAATTGGAGCGGTAACCTTTGTTATTGCTTAGACAATTGTAAGACCCTCTTGCTTAGACAATTGTAAGGCCCTCTTGCTTAGACAATTGTAAGGCCCTCTTGCTTAGACAATTGTAAGGCTCTCTTAAGTCAGCGTTTGTGTGTGTTTTGCGTTTGAAATAAACTTGTTTTGAGAAAATGATCTTTAATTTTTGGCGTTTTCCGTAAATTCAGTAGAGTGATTTTTTTGATTTTGTCGTGCTAGGCCAGATCTACTGAGCCTTTTTGATGATTTCGAAAATCTGGTATGACTTAGAAAACTAAAAAAAGTATTGCCTGTGTGCCTTTGCGTCTGTGTGTGGGTACGAGCGTGTATGCGTCTTGCGTGCCGAAAGAAGTGTTTCATTCTGCAATCAACTGCTGAGAAATAAAAATTTTGGGAAACAAAACAGAAAGGTTAAACGGATAGAACAACGTCAAAAATAAACAAGGTTAAGAAAAAAATTAACGCGAAACGACGATAAGAAACCAAACTAACTCAAAAGATTTAAGTTGTCTAATTGATACTTTTAAAATGAAATGAATTAGATCCACATTCACGCATTAAAGTACAATTTTCAAAAAAAATCTATATTTTAACAGTAGCAAGCATAAGAAAATAGAGTAACGAAGTGTTTAAGAAAAAATAACGATAAAGAATTAAGAAAAATTATTTTAATGATCGTTGAATTTTTCGTATTTAAATGTCTAAATGACGTCAAACGTTTCCGATTTTAATGTCTAAATGACGTCACAGAGATGTCATTGAATGCAATTAATAAATTTTAAAAAACTAAAAATTATGCATTTGGTTTGGCACATATAAACGAAATCGAAAGTAAATTGATAAGGAAATAAATTTCTATAATTCGCTACAAGACCACCTCTAAAAATAAAATAAAACAAAGTTCCAAGTACAATACATGAATATATTTATATATAATTTAAATATATATATATATATATATATATATATATATATATATATATATGTATTCTAAAATGAAGCCTGTTTCAAAATACTTAAAATTGAAAAGAAACTAATTTTTCAAGATTCAATAATTAAACTACTAATAATCAAATCAGGCGTCTAACCTTGCAAGCTTCACAAACGTATGCCCCACAGTAAAAGCCGGCAGCAGAATCGCCGCAGATCTGACATATAGTACCATCCACTACATTCATATTCAGTTTTTTCTATACAAAATTAACATCAACAAATCCCTTTTTTGTGTCTTTTCTAATGATTAACAAAGGTTGTAGCCTAATTTTCGCAAAGAATTTTTATTTTTTTTAAATGAAATACACCGGCAATTTTGTGTTTTCTGAAACATTTCTGGCTCAGAATATATTGTAAACAAACATTTTTGCCCATTATATCCATGATTATAACACGTACATATGATACATGTAATATATGTATTTGTATGATATATCATACCTTATAATTGTCTGTCCTTAATTCTATATGTAGTATCCATGCAAGTAAAGAAATGATGTGTTTGTTTAGTCTGTAGATCAAATGCGTGTTATACAACTTTTATTTTATGTGTGTTTATATGCGTCCATTCTATGTGCTGTGTGTATGCATGCGTCTATTTGTGTGTGTATGTATGTATATAACATCTTTACTCCATTTGTATGTTGTAGTATCGTTAAGATGATATTGTTATATTTCTTATACAAATTCATATTCAGAGTGTTTGTGTGTTAATGACCTGAAAAGAATTTTTAATGAACCGGGCATAGCGTGCTTTTGAAAGGGTTTCGTTTTATTCCGCAAGCACACGCGCGCGCGCGCACACACACACACACTCACACACACAACACACACTATTGAAAATTTATTTATTTCATTTTAAAATATTTTTTCATGTTGTTAAAATTAAGCGACAACAAGCAAGAAAAATGGCAAAAAGCATTGGAGTTATATCTACGTTCTAAGTTTCGATTTAAAAAATTTTTTTAAAAATATTTAGGTGATTTTGGTCGACTGATTTTTTTCCTTTTGTAATTATTGAACCCTTTTGATCAAACCTTTTCAATCTTAATTTCATTACATTAAGATATGGCATCAAGTTGTCATTGCATTTAGCATCAGTTCCAATTTCATAAATTTTTTATACGCTGCTGATTGGTAGCATTGTAGTGAGCCATAGACGAAACGCTTATTACTGAATCTCTATTATCTTCACTGAATCTTTCCAACCAAACGTATCTTTTTTATAGTAAAACATCAGCTATTCATTTGTACATACACCATCTCACATTGCCTCAAGTGTTAATTGATAGTATTCTAGCTACCTGTGACGAAGGCAGGTTGACACCAAACAAACAAACAAACAAACAAACAAACAAACAAACAAACAAACAAACAAACAAACAAACAAACAAACAAACAAACAAACAAACAAACAAACAAACAAACAAACAAACCAACCAACCAACCAACCAACCAACCAACCAACCAACCAACCAACAAACAAATCAACCAACCAACAAACAAATAAACAAACAATGTTTTTATATTTTTTTTTTTCCTAAAAATTGTCATTATCAACAAAGCGAATCTGGTCAATATGCCTTGATGTCTCACACTTATACACACACACACACACACGCACGCACGCACACACACACACACTTATGTAAGAATACTATATATACAAATACATACAGTTTATTCATTATATAAACCTTTTAACAAACATTGAACAACATGCAAGAGTTTCATGATGCTAACATTTAAACAACACACATTAATGTCACGTTACATTACATTATATTACAATACTCTTTTTTTTCCATTACAAACTGTCACTGTTATATTACCGTAAACTTTAAATTGGATTCTTAAACAGGAATCCGATTAGAAATTAAATAAAATAATGAACTAACTAACAAACGAAGGAGTAAAATAAAGAAATGAATAAGAGTATAAACAAATTTATGGATGGATGAGTGAGTGAATGAAAGAATGAGTGAGTGAGTGAACGAATAAATCAGTCTACGTCATCGCCGAGTTGGTACTGTTTGAATTTGTCGATGTTGTAGAAATTTCCTTTGACAACTCTGCCGCCGAAAAATCTTCCATTCAGATCCACAACAGCTGGAGTGTTGAAATATGTGTTTTTGTTAGTTTGTGTGTATCAAACTTCGAATGTATGCGTGTGTGTGTATGTATGTGTATGTGTGTGTGTATTTCCGTGATAAGTAAGCAAAAAAAATAGCAACACAAATAACCTTTGATGGACGCCTCTAATCTGTCGAACTCGACAAATATCCTAACCGCCTCTTCCTCAATCGCGTCTGGGATCTATTGATTTATTTTAAAGTTATTGTTAATTAAAAGTGTAATGAACAAATAAATGATAAATTATTTAATAAATAGTCAGACAAACAAACTAATTTAAATAAATAGTTAGACAAACAAACTAACGAACAGGCAAACAAACGAACACACAAACACATAGCAAAACAAACAGAAATATGCAAACAAACATCGAGGCAGTCACACAATAAAACAAACACACAAAGATACAAACAAACAAAGATACAAACAAACAAGGATACAAACCTCAAATATGACACACTTGACGACCTTCCCATATTTGGCGCATTCCTCAGACACTTCAGTTTCAAGCATGTCATCAACATCTCCTGGAGCCACCATATTCTGCCAATCAAAATTTGTATTTGTATGTTTGTATGTATATATGTTTGTATGTATGTATGTATGTATGTATGTATGTATGTATGTATGTATGTATGTAATGTATGTATGTATGTAAATATATGTTACACAACAACAGTAAATGACCACGAACTTGTAGCATGATGACTTTGGAAGGATTCCTCAGTAGATTGGCATTGCTCATCTCAGCCCTTGGAACTGACAGATCTTGAGCTGTTTGTTTGGTGCATACAAATTAATACAGATTTAACAAACATACGTACAACAAACAAACAAACAAACAAACATTTATGCAAATCTTTCTCGTGAATAATCTTGCCAATCTTTTTACTAGTCTTCTCAACCTGGAGGGCAATACTCATGCCCTGCTCCTGCTTGCCTAGACCTTGACCTTCCTTGTACCCCATCCTAGCCATGATTTTCGAGGCCACAGAACCGCTGGGCAAATGGTGGAAAGGTTTTTGTAGGAGTCGAGAGTGAATAATTTTTGATCTAATTGATCTAAGTTGTGAATTAAATAAGTAAAAAAGTTATCTGTTATTTAATCATTAATCCAACCAACCCCAGCCCATCAGCCAAACAACGAATGAATGAATGAATGGATGAATAAATGAATGAAACAAAAATAAACAAAATGTGAACAAACCTCAAACCAAACTGACTCCCTGGAGGTTCTGGCTTATTCAATACTGGACCTAAAACAGATCGAATGGAAAAAATGTAATGATGCACAAAGTAAAATGTGAAAAAAACAACATCCTCAATCAACATAGACAGTTAAGAAGACACACAGTAAAGTGAATAAAATTTAAATAACTAAGATAATTAAAAGTGAAGCTTTACACGAAAGAGGTTTCCCAACAAATATGGTGAGAGCTACTCAAAAATGACCAGTGCCATATTAAAAAACAGTAATAATGGCAAGAATCAACCTTGAAAGTCTACAATCTTTTTATCGTCTGCCTCAATTAGTGAAGGGGGAGGAGCTATGGCTGCTTTTGGGGCCATACCTGTCAATCAATCAATCCATCAATCAATCAGTCAGTCAAGTGAACCAATAATTAAACAACCAACCAACCAATCAATTTTCAAACTAGCTACAATTGAAACCAATGAAAAATTTACTTGATTCAGATTCAGACTTTCTTATCTTAGCAGCACTGCCAGAATCATAGTCATCTTCATCTCGTCTGCTTCTATCTCTTCGTTTCCTATGGAAATAAAAATATACGAAACAATGGCTATTACAGATACAAAAACAAACAAACAAACAAACAAGCAAGCAAACAAGAAAACTTATAAACACACCTAACCAACCTGTCGTCGAGCAAAGGACCATTTCGCCAGCCGGGAGGCCGATGTTTGTAACCATCATCCTCGTCATTCCTAATACTGCTTCTGTGGTGGTCGTCGTGGCGGCTTCTACTGCAAGAATTTGGTTTAAGGAAAAATTTGTTAATATTTTTAGTAAAAATGAAATCATCAATGTCATCAATTTCCTTGTCAACGTCACCATAAATATAATCAAAACACCACCACCATCACTAACCGATCATCATCATTCGAATTTTGTTTCTTGGACTTCACGATCTTCTCATAATCGTTCGGTTTCATCGGGTCATACTCGTCGACAATCCCAACAAATGCCACGTCCCCTATGTACGAGCCAAACAATCCCCCCATCGATTCCACCTAGTTGGTTGGTTTGGTAGAAATATATATGAATTAATTTCAATAAAAATGTCAATTATTTATTTTTAAAATTATTTATTTTAAAATGTATCAAAAAAACAAATAAAATTATGCAAACATATACAGGCAAATACATAAAAAGCAGCAAACCTGATTATGACCATCCTCTCCCCGTCGATTCTTCAAACTAATCACCGGAGTTAAAGTTGGATTATTTTTCTTCTAATTTAAATTATGTTATAAAATTTTTATTGTTAGATTTTTTCCTTTGCTTTAACTTTTAAATTAATGAATTAAATCCTTAATGCTAATATAAATATTTATTTGTATGTGACATGAAACCTTATTTAAACTCTGAAGCATCATTTTCTTTTCTTGTAATTGCTTTTGAGTTTCTAATAATTTTAGGCTAGACCCCCAGCCAGCTGGCAAAGTTAATATAGAAGTTTATGGGTAAAATTAAATTTAAATGCTCTCTAAAAAAATCTGATTCTGTTAAATTACAAACGTTACAAGAAACTACCAGAAAAGGTAGAAAAGAAACATTAGAAAGAGTTGATTCATTATTAATTTATGACTTAGAAGTCTTTTAGGACATTTCAGGTGATTAGGATAATATTAATAAACATTTTTTTAATAATTGAAAAATTAATTTAATAATAAAAGCTATAGTAAATAAGAGTGCTAAAAACAATAATCAATTATAAAAACAACTAATTAAAAAGGTTGTGCTGTGTAAATGACAAATTAGGAATCAATCCGCCATATTTGTTTCGCATGTTGGCTTAGGAAACGTTTTGTTTTATTTTTTATAACTCTAACCCAAATCTGCTTTTTGTTTTTCTTCTAAATCAATCCCATCGTAAAGCGACATTTTACAAATAATTAATAAACGATCGGACAAAACAAAAAAATTATCGTAACGACCAATCGTAAACAGAAAAACAAATTTTCAGCGATCAAACCCATATAATTAACTAGAACTCTTTTGTAAAAATTGTTTACTTTTTATGTAAACAACGATTAAAAATTTATGGAAAACTAAATGTCTAATACTAAGCTGTCATTTAACTTAATCCTTTATATCACATTTTCTAATTATATGACATAACTAGAATAAATATTTAATTGTGAACTTTATATACGAATTCAGATAAACAATTGCGGTTTAATATTTAAATTGTATTGTAAAATTTACAACTGAAATTTCAAAACAATTCAAACGTTGTAATTTTACAAAACAAGAGATTGTGCCAAAAATGATAAAACTTAACGACTCCTTTCGCTATGTAATTCTTTTAGCCATATTGTAATCATATACACAGTAAGAACGATCGAATAACGTGTGAAAAAGAAAACAATTAACAAGCAAGCAACAAACGAATAAACAACGACAAACGATAAGCAAACAACAAACGAACAATTAGCAAACAACGAACAGCTAACAAACATTCGACGAACGAACAATTAAGCAAACAAACATGTAGACCAACGGACAAACAAACAAATCAGAGAATATAAATTATTTTCATTTTGTAATAATCCAACAATCTGCAAGCAACGAACCGCTAACGGACATAGGACGCACGAACAACCAAGCAAACGAACGGGCCAACAAACAGACAAACGAACAGAACAAGAGAACATAAAAGTTTTTTGTTACGTTATAATTTACCCCTTGTTGAAGGGGTGCAAACAAATTCAATAAACACTCATTGTAATGTTCCTCCCCACGGAAATCTTTAGTAAAAGGCGAAAGATTTATGCGTGGAATGAAGAGAAACCAGAGTTACCGAACCGTGTGAATTATATCGACTTAAAGTCAAATTTAATTGCAGTTTGAGGTGTTTTATTTGCAAATTAAATTTTTGTCGTCAGTTGAATAAAGTTTTTTTGTCCGCTTGGGTTTTGTAGATGTGTTTAACTGTTTATGTCGATATTACTTATTTAAATATTTAATAAAAATAATTAAGGTAAATGATTAAAAATATAAAAATCAGAACGTTCAAGAAGGTTTAGTCAATTTCATTTTAATTCCTACAAAAATTACTTTAAAATTTACATAAAAAAAAACCTATGTTACCATCTTCACGTTTACATTTGTGTAAAAATAAACACATGGCTTTTGTTTAAAACTTGTTTTGCTTAGTTCATTTCTTAATTTAATTTAATTCGATTTAATTTATTAAATTTTTTTATCTGACAAAAATTTTTGATTTAATTATTTGTATACTTGTTAATAATTTTTTATTTTAAATGTTGGTTGGCAGATTTAGTAACCATTCGATATTGATTTTTTTTTAATATTTTTAGTAGCCCTTGGCATAGCCTTAGGATTAGTAGTTACTACTAAATTAGTACCTAACATAAATTTCTAATTCAAATTTTGGTTTTTGACAGTTTGAATTTAGTAATCTGGAATAATTTCCACTTCAAGATTACTGGCTGACTGGTTAGAGGGCTAGTTACTATTTTGGTGTGTGTGGTTATCTTTCTGGAGATGTCTGGAAGGTTTTTAAGGTTAGTGACTTAGTGTTGTAATCCAGACTTTTAAATTTTGTTTTTGATTAGATTTACTTTACTTACTTTCTTATTGCTAGTCTAATTTTTTTATTTTATCATATTAATTGAAAAAATTTTATTTTTTAAAATTCTAGTGCAGAGGATCTGTTGAAGCAGTCAAAGAAATATTCAGACTTTTCATTACTAACTTCATACACTGGAGGTTGCAAGGACTACGAACCTGATGGGTCCTGGTTTCAAGAAAAGAAGTTGATAAAATTTTATGAAGAGCAGTCAGATATCCTATCTATTGAAAGGGTTCACAAAATGTACATTTCCACATAATTTTTTTTGTAAACTCAATTGTTAATATTAAGTGCCTAGTCAGATTTAAGGGGTATAGTACCCGCTCGTGGTGTGGCAATGACAAATTGTAAACTCCCAATTCAATTATTTATTTAATTATTATTTTCAGCCAGGAACTTTTTTTTCTTTGCATAATATACATTTGCTTACATTGTTTTCTATTGAAACTAGTGTATCTTTCAAGTGATGTTTATGGAATTGATGTAACTAACTTTTTGAAAAAATATGAGTTGCGTTTTTGTGGTGACTCCTTCTTTGTGGATGCCCCTTCTTTGTAGGGGGCCCTCTTTATGGATGCCCCATCTTTGTAGATGCCTCTTATTTGGTGAGGCCCTTCTTTGTGGAGGTTTCTTCTTTGTGTGGACCCCAAGGCGGTAGCACCTGTCTACCATTTCTTATATTTAAATTTATGGAAAAAAAACAGTCTAAATTTAATCTTATTTCATCAGTGTATGTTTGTAAATTTTAGAAGTAGTTGATTTTATTTATTTTTATATATGTGTGTGTGTGTTTTTTTTAGATCTGGTTTGATGGTAGGAAGATGGTACGAAGACGTAGGGCAGGTACAACTCACTGCTAACAAGGTAGAGTTCATTTTTTCTCAGATTGCTGTTACTAATACTTTTTCCAATACTAACCACAGCTTAACTACTAATACTAGCTATAGTCTTAGTCCAATTAGTATTACCATTACTCTCTATTACCACTATCTATTTAAACTTAAATTTATATCACCATCACAGTATGCTATTCTATTACTATTTATACTTATTTTTATCAACCAATTGGCGATGAAATAATTAGGGCAAGTTCAGTAGATATGTAGGTCAGTTCAGAGATGGAAAACATTGGCTGATGCCTGAAGAAGCACTATTCCTGGTAGACCAGGTAGGTTGCATATTTATTCATTATTTGGTTAATTGGCTTGCTCTTTATTGTAACTTATTCACTAGCTATCTCATTATCATAATTTATTCATTTTTTTTACTTTTTAAATAGTATTCCGTGGATAATAAACTATTGTTTTCATTTTCTGAATTTAATTTTTTTATGTAGTTGAGACATTTCCCTCTGAACTCGTAAACATTGCAGGGCTGTTTGCAAATTATGAACAAAGTTGGCGACGACCATGATGACGTCAGAAATAAAAGTAGCCGCAGCAGTAGCAGTAATGATGATAACAAACATAAAAGGGATGATAATGGTGTTAATGGTGATAACCACGATGATGATGAGGAGGAGGAAGAAGATGATACTGGTGACGACGACGATGACGATGATGAAGAAGAAGATGATGACGACGATACATATCCAATGAGTGTACAAGAATGCTATCACATCTTGCTGAATACTCACACTTCGTTCGGTCTCAATGCTTACCTTGTTTATTCACATCTATGTAAGTTGGGCTATATTGTCATTAGACATCAAGGCTACAACATCAACAATAAAAACCACAACAGCGGCAACAACAACAACAACATCACCAACAAATACAAGAAAAACCACAATAACATTCACAACATCGACAACAAACGCATCAACAACGATAATGTCCACAACATCAACAGCAGCAATTACGACATCAACAAAAATAACAACGACACTAACAACATCAATGCAATCAAGTATTACGCTAATAGCAACAACAGCACAATTAACAGTGCAGATTGCATTGATATTAGTGTAGATAATAGTGCACAGACTACCAGCATCCCTTCAGATGAAATTAAGAGAGATAGTGGGGATGAAAGGAAGAGGAAAAGAGATAACGATGACGACGATGATGGTGAAAATATGATGTCTGAAAATAAAATGGCAAAGAAAAATGTATGTAACTGTGATACAAATGTCAAAAGTGAGAAGCATTTTTTTTGTCTATAATAAATATTGAACGTGACATTTTTGATTTTTAACTTTTTTTTTCAAATTTTTCAACATGAACCTTCAAAACATTTTTAGTAAATGACAGAATTGAAAAAAAAAATTGTTCAACAGTCTATAAAATCAAAGATATAGAAAATGCATCCTGTGATGTCCACACGCAGCAGTCGCGACAACAGCAGCAACAGCAACTACTAACGCAACACTCACCACAAGAAAGTACCCTACATCAGTTTCAGCTGTTTCAAGAGCATCAACATAACTCACAACAGCCCAATCCGTATTTTCCCAAGCAACATCTTAGTCAAAAGCCACAAAAGCAACCACAACAGCCACAGAAGCAATCACAACAGCCACATCAACGACAGCCTCTACATCAACATGGAAAACAACAACCACCAGAAGAGCAACTGCATCAACAAGGACTTTTTCCAAACGACAGCATCATCGATAATCTTGACATATCTCGAGTGACAGATGACACCATGCTGTTAATGAAACTTTCATCATCATATTTCCACCAAAAAAGTCATAATAGTAATAATAATAACGCTAACAACCACAACAACAATCAAAGTAATAGTGATACCCTATGTAAGATTGAATGCAGTAGTAGTACAACACTCAGGGATGTTTATAAACCAGAAGATGAAAATAGCAACTTCATAAAGTTTGATGTTAGCTCTATGAGAAAAAAGATTAAACGAATTGCTTATGGTAACTTTTGAATTGTTTTTCATTCCTCTCTTCATATCACTGAGTTTTAAAGTTGTTTTTGCAGATCTTTAGAGGAATTTTTTTTAGATTCTTTACAGTAGATGCCAACGTGAAATTATATTAAAGTTTAAGAGATCTAAGCTTGATGTTTTTTGAAAGTTTTTTTTGGGACAAAACCACTACTTTACCTTTTTCATTTTAGATTTAATTGCGTGTTCTTGCATTGTCACATGTGTTTTCATGTTACATGGTCAAATTTTCAATCTTTGTGCTCTTATCAAAAGTTTATACAATTTCTATTGATTCATCGAATATTTCACTCATTTTTAGCGTTCTTATTAACATTATTATCCGATTTTAATAAAAAATTTTCATAATTTTATTCAGAATTCACCGTTAAAATATTTCTAATAAGTGTTCACTGGTACTTACTCACATTATCATATCATATTAAGTAGTCACCAAAACTAACCAACAATCACCAAATTCTGATTAGGGTCGACCACAGAGGCCACAAGAGGCCACCACAACAAAACGCCACCATCAAAATTTCGCTGCTGTAGTAGCGTCAACGACTGGACCACATTCAAAAGCCTATCAACTACTGAGCGATTGTTACTCACTGATTGGAAAGTTCTGTGGCAGGGCGATAATGGTGGCGAGAAAAAAGATGCTGATGGCGAAAAAGACGGAAACGCTGGTGGTAACGAAGGAGATGACAACGACGATGATGGTTGTGATGAGGTAGTTCGACCACTCATCTGCCCTGGTGGTGTTAATAATTTAGGTACATTATGAAAATTATATTATTTCATGAAATTTTTCAAAAATTCTTCTATAGCTTTTACTTATTTAGACTAAATTTTTGCTCTGTTAATGAATTTAGAATGCTCGTTGGACGTTTCAAAAATTCTTTTACTTAGTACTCAATTTTGATTAATTTTATGAAACTAATCAATATAGAATGTAGCTGCTAGTTTTATTTATGAATAAATTTCAAAGAATTTTTAGTTTGATTTTTTCCCAATATTTATAAAAAATGTCAAAATTTCTATCCAGATTTGGTTTATAGAAGTCTGGACATAATCAAAAGTGCAACAACCCCTGCAGAGCAAGTTATTTTTTACACATTTTTCTCAGATTAATTTGTTCTTCGTTGAACTAAGTCTTCTGTCTTTTTTTTTTACAAACCAGATTAAATTTAACCAGACTCGGTTGGTTTAACGATTATACAATTGTTTCTGATTATTTTTTACTGAATTATACATCGTAAAGACATTACCCGTGTGTAATCTTTTAAAATAGTAATACGTTAATCACTCCCGCTTAAACAAGTGATTTAGTTTTTTACTTCTAGCAAGATTTTAATATTTTCTTTGAATAACAATCTCTTTCAAAATTCCTAATGATATTCTTTTTCCAAATTTTTGTTTTTGGCAATAATTTTTATCGCTGCTCAAAAACTATAATAACTATGTTTTATATACAGATCATTTGGTAGTACTGATGAGAAAATGAAGCCTGAAAGGCCCATGTTTGATGTCTACCAGCCAAACTCCACGTTCAAAAGATCGAAACCAGGCACTCCTCACATGCTCGTCTGCTTAGCGAAGTTAGTTTCTATCTTTTTAGTAACATTTAAAAAAATAAATTTTTTTCTTCCACTTGTTTTTTTATCTGATGCTAGTAGATTGTTTGTTTTAATGCGTTTGGCGTGATAAATGAATGGGGTGTACATTTTTGATTTAGATATAAAATAATTTAAGATGGAATGCTTTTGAATTTGTGCAGTTTTGTGACGCTCTAATGTGTCCTTTTTTAGTAAATCTTTTTTCGATACCATAGGAATATTTTACTTTCATTCACATAACATTAAAAGAAGAAACTTATTTTTTGAAGAAATCCTCCAAGTTATGAAGACATTGTTAAGCTGACGAATGAACTACTTACCCGTGAAACTCTACTTGTGTTTGCATGCGTGCAAGATGGCAACGTATCATTTTATTCCTACCAATCTTTAAATTTGTGCTGTCAATGACTTTAGAATGCTTGTTGAATTTGATTCTGCATTGCTTTAAAGAGTTTAAATAATGTTGGGTTAAATAAATACAAAAGTAATGTGCTGAAACTTCCTCCCTTGTTTAACTAATCTCAATGAACTCAAAATAAATTGTGAAAAACGTTTCAATTTATTCTGCAAATAAATCAAACAATAATTCTTGTAATTTGAAGCAATATTGGGCAATAGATCATAAACGCGATAAAACAGAACTACAGAATGTTTTTTGACGATTGAGTGGTACACCATTGCAAACCATAGTCGCACTCCCGCATAAAAACAGGTGAATACCCAGGCACACCTGGATCGCAACCATGCTAACGACCCATAAATAAAAGCGGTATGCATTGCCTCAAATGCAAAATTTTGTGTAATATCAAGTTGAAAAAATTTGATAACAGTGAGTTTTAAAATCAGTGGTCATCTTCTAAGGTGATAGCCTGGTTCATTCCTTTATAAAAAATTCAAAAGATGTTTATTTGAACTTACAGAATTGAAAATAATATATTAGCTATCATATTTTTTAGCTAGATTATTTTTTAACCTGATTATATAATTTATTACATCTAACTTTATTAAAATATATCCGAGCAGTTAAATATTTATTAAAAATCCCCGGCAAGTATTAAAAACTATTCAAGTTAAATTAACTTTTAAACTAATTTTCAGAATGACGTAGCTATAACAAATTTGAAAAATAGGAACGGCAGCATATGAGATGACAATTATTAAAAATATGGCAACTATTATTATAACCTATACATTAATTTTATATGCTATAACCATCATTTTTATTTTCTTTCAATGTGGAAAAATGCATATATTTTAAACAAATAATGTATGAAAATTAAAAACATCTGGTTATTACTTTAGAATAGATTGAATAGAATAGATTCATAAACTGACCCTACGAACCAATGATACAAAAATTAATTATTTTAACAAAAAATTAGTACACTCCCACGAAATAAAATTGAGCAAAATTAAAAACTCGAAATAATTAAAAAAGTTGAATAGCGAGTTTTGTTGAATTGAAATAAAGGACTTCATAAACGTCATGTATTATTGTAACTGTAAATCTTTTCTGTAAAAAAAGTTATCGTCTGGGTGTGGAAAAGGGTATCGGAGGTACAAGCCGGTATCTGTCATAAACTGCGAGATTATCTCCCGTTTTTTGAGAGCTTCTTCTCGATCTCCTTGGTAAATACTCACTTCAATACTGAAAACGTCGATGCGGATCTTGTCGAAAGGAATAGTCTTCAAAATGCCAATCTCTGACCCTTCTGTGTCCAGCGAGAAATAATCGACGTGTGTTACGTTCAATTGATTTAGGAGGAGCATCAGAGGGACGCATTCTACTTGTCTGTTTGTGCCAGTAATCTTAGAGCGAGATCTTTCAAACATTTTTGTAATACCACTTAGAAACCCATTCTGCACGATCTGGAATGATTCAATGTGGTCAGATGGTGACAAACAGCCTTCGTAAATGTATGCATTTCTTTTCTTTGCTAATAGACTCTGATAATAATCATTGTTCACTTCTATCAGCAGGCCAGTCCAGTTTCTATAAACTTCAAAGAACAAACTGTTGGAGTACACTTCACCTTCACCAGCTCCGCATTCAATAAAAAAACCATTTGTTCTTCCATTCAATAGCTTGTCTACGAAGTGGGATTGATTACTTTGGGACCACGTTTTTTCATGAGGGCTGGCCAGTTTCAATAGACTTTTGTTCTTATTAGGAGGGAGAATTTTTCTTAGCGGATATTTGTGAGCAACTGTCATCTTGGTTTTATCATTTTTTTCATTTTTTGAGAACAGCTAGAAAATGAAACATGAGATTATATGATTATTTAAAAAAAAAAAAAAACAAACTTTGATGTTTTACAATTTTAAAAGTTTTAAAAATACTTCTAACCGTAAAAAAATTAGCGTAATATAACAGAACTGCCAGTAGGAGCCATGTCACGAAAAGCATGCCTATCTTAGATTTACTTGCTCTGTCATAAAATGTTTGTGTAGTTACCATTTTGCAATTTTAGTTAAAAAGTTTTACGCTGAATTTTCGTAATTTGATAAATCTTCTTAAAGAAAGTGATTTGAAATTAACTGCAATTTTGGCTATTGTTAAGTAATTTGAGGTTTTCATCGAAAAATGCAAATTTCTCACAGAAATGTAATTATCATAATGTTATTTATTTATAAATAACACATGATGAATCAGAACCAGAGAGCAAGACAAAAAAATGAAAATATCAGACAATTCATAAAATGAATTTTAAACATTTTGGAAAATAAAAACGAAGAAAGTTGTTCACGTAGTCTGTAGTTGTCTAGTTGTGTATGTGGTAAAATTTCAAAACGACGCATTTAACTTCCAACTCACGGTAGAGAAAATTTCGTGAATAATTTAGCAGTCATCGTATTAGCTAATTAATCCCTTGCCTGTGATGAAAATTTCAAAATACTAATTTTAAAATATTTCAGCTATGTTGTGCGAAATTTTGCATTCAAACAAAGTTAAAAATTGGACGGAATTTTAAACTAGAAAACCGTTTGTTTACATAGAACGCGGCAAAACAATTTCAAAAATCAGTGATAGACGTGATGTTATTAATTATTTAGTTGGCGGTTAACTCAAAAATTCCATCCACTAACCTAAATAAACTCTTAATTAACTTAAACAAACAAACAAACAAACAAACGAACGAAAAAACAAACAATATATTAAAATAATTTTTTTTAACTCCAGATCAAATTTTTTTTATATAGTTATGATTACATGGAATTGTAAGTACATATGTTCTAAGTATATATTTGATGTAAATTTTGTTGTACAATTTTATTTTAAATTTGATTATATCATGAAACAGTTATTGTAAAAACTTTTGGCCAATCTATAAACTCTGTCCAGGGTGGTCTTTTTTCGGGTCTCCAAGCCACAATTCTGGTGGTTGAATAAAGTATTTGGGTATTTGAATTTGAAATCAGTTCAATTTAGCCATTGGAATAAAAAATTTGTGGTTCATTGAATTTAACTGCGTTATCATAATTATAGTCTAGATTATCTTCATTGTCATCAACAGCAGCGTCACCATCATCTATTGCCACTACTACAACTACCTACTTTAACAACTACTAAAATTATACCGCTAATGCTGCTAACGCTACTACTACAGCTACTACTACTAGTGGTACTACAGATACAACAACAACAAATACTACTACAGTTGGCAGTACTGGTTTATAAATTTTTGTTGTGTCTCATATTATCAATTCTCAAGTGCTATTACTTTTCTTGAGTTTTTTCATTGTTAAAGGAGAATTTTCATTGAGCCAAAAACAAAATCCTCGAGTTTTAGAAAACTACTTCAGATTTGTTTACGTGCGTTCTAACGATGGGGTAATGTTTAATTATTCAGACTTCCCGATCGATACTGTGGGTATGGCTTGACGGCGTATTTTGAAAAAAAAAATTTCTGGTAAATTATGATTGGGGGATTATTGTTGTGAGTAGATACGATTTATTTTAAAAGAGTTGTTTCATCTGAACGAATCAACATTTATAAGAAGATTTTAAAATTTCAGATAGTGAAAAATGTGCTTGATTCTAGTTCTAAAGCTTACTGCTACAATATTGTTATCAATCAACTCGTTAGCATCAGCAGTTGATAAGAAGTATGAAATGATAGGAGAGCCAGACAATCCCATGTGTTTTGCTTCAGAACCTACCACAGTACTAACCAACATACGATCCTTACTGGAATGTTCTACCAAATGTTTTCATTATGTTTCTCCCACTGGTGATAGCATCACTTGCAACGCATTCAACTTCTTGTCCAACCATGGTCTGGTTCCATATTGTCAACTGTTTAGGTTCACGAATGATGAACAGTACAAGAATGTATTAAACACAAACAACTGCGTCGCTTATGAGGTGAGGTTGATTAAATTTTGGAAATTTTCAAACTTACGATAAATTTTTATATATAAATACACATGTTTTAATTACAAAATTTATTGAAATAAAATCTTCAAAAGGATGTTGAGTCAAGAGAAGGTTTGTATAATGCAGACTACTACTCTACAGCAGCTCCAATTTTAACTACCATTCCAACGACTGCTTCATCTCCCCAAACTACAACCGCACCAGTCGAGACGACCATTGAAACTACCACAACTGCCACTAATGAAAGTCCGACAACAATGTGTCAGCCTTCTGGTGAATTTGTTTAAAAAATTGTTTCTACTTTGAAATCTATTTCACATTTTAACTTTTAGCATTTTAAAAGAATCGGTTTATAATTCATTTGTGGTCTAAAACTAATTATAATAACTTTTTACCATTGACTATTAAGAGTCGACCGGAGTGTACAAGACAATTGACAGCCAACAATGCGAATTTCCATTTACACTGAAGGGTGGATTGTTCTACAGCTGCTCCAACAAAGTTCCTGGAATGATTCAATCTTGTGGAAATTATTTCTGCATCGTTGGCGATAGAAGCGTGGCTCTGTGTAGAAATCCTTTCGGTAAAACGGGAAAATTATTTTCCTAACGAGGCAGTGTAATGGTTAAGGTGCTTGGCACTGCAATTCAAATGCAAAACGATCCCCGTCTGTCACATGCTACTGACATACATTTTGTGTTTCTTGTTAGCGCCTCTAAAAGACATAAAAGATGGAATTGAGCTAATAATAATAATAATATAATAATAATAATAATATTATTATTATTATATAACATAATTATATTATTAATAATAATAATATTATTATTATTATATAACATATTATTATTATATTATTATATAATAATAATATAATAATAATAATAATATTATTATTATTATTATATTATTATTATTATCGTTATTATTTTTGATATAATTTAAATTGTTTTTTTGGTAACGTTGTAGATTTTAGCGCAACGAATTCGACGACCTCACAAACAGTGAATGTGGACTCTATTGATGTCATGGTGCCTGTCATATCTGTCAACGAATGGATCGTCATCCAGCAAAGAATCGATGGCTCGCTAAGCTTTAATCAAACCTGGGCAACTTATAAGGTTAGCTAGAAATCAAAGGAAGTTTATGTTTAATTACTTAAATAGGGATATAATTATTGTTATAATATTTGCAATTTTAAAAAAATGTTATTCGGTTAAAATTGTCTTGTTCAGCTCAGCTGTTATTTTTTAAATTAATTTCTATTGAATTAAACCAGCCCAAAATATTTTAAATTAAAAAATACTTTTTAGACAGGCTTTGGGAGACCTGATTCAAACTTCTGGCTGGGATTAGAAAAAATTTTCTCTTTAACAGGGTCGGGTGACTACAGGTTGAGATTTGAAGTTCTCCTAAATGGAAACTGGTTTTCAGATGAGTATAACCATTTCAGGGTACAATTGTTCAGTAAACTTATTTTTAAACACATCTCTATTTCTTTAAATTAAAATGATCATTCTATTTATAGATTGACGGTGAAGGCAATTTTTACACAATAAACGTGGTTGGATACACCGGTGACAACTGCGATATCATGAACCAGCCAGGAGATGATACAGTAAGCCTACAAAATGGTGCGAAATTTTCAACTTTTGATCGCGGGGACACATATGGGTGCGCCAGTTCGAGTTCTTCTGGAAATTGGTTCGGTAACTGTTTCGCTCAAAACGTCAATGGTGTTTACGGTGATACTGCTACCTACTACACAGCTTCAGCTAGTCAACGTCTCGTCATTACTCATTGCAGGATGATGATGAAATTGAATCCAACTGTCTCAAACGCATCGTTGTAATTTAAAATAATTTCAAACAAATGATTAATCAATTAGACTACATGAATGAGCTTATATTGAAGAAATCTCATTACGATTTTGCTGATGTACTAAAGTAAGGGACAATTCTAATGGCTGACTCTTAATACAAAATAGTGATTTCAAACTTTTACGAAATGTAAAAAATTTTTTTGTAATAATAACATTTTAGATGGTAGATACCGAGCAGAAATATTTGCGACTAATTTTGAAAATGTTAACCAATGATAATAAACAACTCGCACATTTTTTTTGCGCACGTATATGCCTGGAGTGTTTGTTGTCAAATAATAATCAAATTCAGAGTTGTGTTAAGCAGATGATATTTCGGCAATTTTTTCAACAAGTTAAGCGTGATGTTTTTTCAGAGAAACATTACATACACCACCACCCACTCATCCATCTTCGTAACGTTTCAACATCAAGACGGTTTTCAATTTTTTCTACGTCAAATGAACCCAAGCAATTTTTCAAAATAATTAAAAAAACTTTAAATTTGGTTCAAAAATGGTTCAATGAATCTTTTCTCCATAATTTCGCTGTTGTGACATGGCTGACAAATTTTTTTAGAATCATTTCGAAAAATTTTAAAAAATGTTCTAATTTCAATTTATTAGTTGAGATATTTTTGAACGTTAGCTGAAACAAAAAATATTTAGTTAGTGAACGAATTTATTGACATTTAGACAACATTTCAATCCTATAACATCTAATTAAATGTATTTCAACATTACATAAAATTAACTTAAAAACTGTTAACGACTTAATTTAACGTACATTTTTACGACAATAATGGAATTTTTATTAAGCAAAATTTCAAAAATTTATTAGCATGGAATCAAGTCACATTGTTAAACAAAACATAAGAATCGGTGAACATTTAACATAATACAATCATTGTTATAGATAAATACTAATAAAAATACAAACATATATTATGTTATTTACATTACTATTCTGTATATATATATAAACATGTGTGTATGAGTTTGTGTATTTGTTTGTATGTGTGTGTGTGTGTGTGTGTGTGTGTGTGTGTGTGTGTGTGTGTGTGTGTGTGTGTGTGTGTGTGTAATATTAGGCCTAACATTAGCGAATACAAATTTGTCAATTTTTCAATATAAAAACACTGAACCGATTTAAAATTTGGTAATGTAATTAATACAAGCATATGAAAAAAATGTTTCAACTGACGGTAAATACATTTTACGATACTCAACAGTAAATACAAAGATACATATATACACATATACCATACATATACACACATGCATATACGAACAAACAAAATAGCACACATACAAATACACATACACACATACACTACTTAGGTACAGACAAGCCAACACACACATACATACAACAACACATAGATTTGCCATCAGTCGAGCTCAGAAGTGATTTCAGGGGATTGTTCATCTCCATCCTCTACAACTGATTCCTGTGCCAAGATGATAATATATTTAAGCGAAAATAAAATTTAAAATGTCTCTAGCTTTTACTATTTTCGTTATGTCATCAGATTCGGAATATATATGCAATTAACTATTTTATACAGTATTGTATGAACTCTACCGAATTGTTGGCATTAATCAATTTAAAGTTTGTTTTTTCAATTTTCCTTATTAGAATTTTCTGGAAATCGTTTAATTTATTGAAAATTGAAATTTATTGAAAAAGAAATTAATTATTCATATAGTATGTCATCGTACGGTCCATTAATTGTTTGCAGCACTAAACTAACCCATCCGCCACGATCCGCAATCCATCCGGAATACTTTTCCTCGATGTACTTCATGGTGTAACCCTTGATGCTCCCAGCAACTGTTGACCCGATGCCCGCCAAGTTAATGACGGATCTCGTCAGCATGAACACGTGAGCTATCTGGTTCCAGCCGCAGTTGTTTTCGTTTAGGTTTGCCGAGACAATTTGCTCAAATTCGTTGTAGGAGGAAGTGTTGTTGAGCAGTTTTTCTGTTACTTCGTTAGCACTCTGACGTTAGTAATTTACAAAAAGTTTGGTCGGTTTCTTTGTTTAAAAAGTTGGAATTATTACGTTCAAATGATTTTAGTCGTAACAGTAAAACGTGCTAATTATTCCATCTTTATTTGAAACTGATTTCTCAATGAAATACTAATCAACTTGATAGGCTAACATTTGCACAGGCCTTTGATGAAACGGAAACATGACTTGGATCGTAAGTGTTCAACGTACGAGGTGCTTCTGAAATTAAATTGTTAAATTTCATCTCAAAAACTTTTACTAAACTACTACTGCGATAAAAGCCACACATACAAAGAATTAAACCAATCGTAAAATAATTATCAATTTCTGCGACTAACCAACGATTTGGTTGAGTTCACCAATGCATTGAATGTTGTCAGCGATGGCAGCTAGCTGGTCGGCTATCTTCATGAAGATTTCATCCTTCTCTTTTTCAGATTTGTGATGAAATGGCACGTTGTTTGATGACGATGATGAGATTGATTTTTCTGAAATTTTACCAAAAAAAATTAATTAATAAACATTTCGGTTATTGTTATAAAATATATAACTGATAGGTTCTAAGGATATTAATTAATTAATATTATTAACAACATTAAAGCGCTTGTTAACTCTCCTATCATCAATAAATTAATCGGTTCGGACAAGAACATTGAATCTTTTGTAAAATTTAGAAATGTCATAATAATTAAATTTTTAAATTTTTCAAAACCTTCAACGGGTTTGTTGCTGTTGCGACTCTCAACAGTGTCCAGAGTCCTGAGACCGTCTACTTCATCGAAGGGCAGTGGCATGGCGGGTCGTCGTTTGCAAGTTCTTTCCAAGGAGACACTGGGCCCCCTGCTGGACCCCTTCTTTTTAACGTCATGGAAGGTGGTCGGTAAAAAGTATTTTTTGAGTAGTTCATTGTCTTCATTCTTCAGTGGCCTGATTATTGTCGGTAGGTTATCGGCAGACCTAAAACGGTTTTCTTAGGGGAAAGAAATTGTGAAATAAATTTATTCATTATTAAAACTAAAATTCATTCAAAATTTGACAATCAAATTTTACAAAAATTTGTTTAAAATCCAACTTTGCTTTTTCTGCGATTTTGACCTTCCCACTCGGATCTGCTTGAGTATGGCGTCAAAGAAATTTTTATTGAATTTAATTTTGTCCGTTAATTTTGACGGTTCAGGCGGTTCAGTCACATTTAGTTTTCTTAATTCTGATTTTGAACTCGATCGGCTTCTTTTTCCCAAATCAGCCTGCCTGGTGAGTTTTTTATTTTGATCTTTTAATTTCTGTGAAGAGGAGTTTAACTCTTTATCATTCAACTGTCCTGTGTTAGGCTGAATATTAGCAGCAGCGTTGGTAGGAGGAATTGATTTCTTATTAACTGATCTTTTAAAACTTTGCTGAACACGTTCAAAAGCTAATCTCAGAGAGCTTTTTTTCTTCCTGTTGATTAATTCAGTGTCAGGGAATTCGTAATCTTCAGTGCTGGATGATGAGACGTCGGAAACGTCTTCAGCGAGGGCCAGCGGTGGGCTCGGGGGAGATAATTTCTTCATCTCAAGTCTTGAGATGTACTCGTTGTTTGCCTTCTTACACTGTATACCTGATTTTGATGGAAATTTTAAGTTGCTTGATACTTGAAGAAGTGAGTCTGATTCGTATATGGAAAAATTGTTAAAATCGTTGGAAGAATGTCGCTTTTCCATACATTTGCCATCTTGACTGGAATGATAGTCGATATCGTAATAATCGTGGTGCTTCAATCTGTTAGTTTTCTCTACTGAATCGATTTCATCCTTCTGTTGATGGGATTGTTCTTGTCTTCCGGCAAACTGGCACAAAGGTTTGAAGTTTTGGTAGACATCGCTGGAATCATCGTCATCGTAATTGTTGGCGCACCTGGCGCCAGTGAATTCAACGTAGAGTTCTTCATCTTCGATGGCATCTCTGCTACTGAGACAACATCTTCCTCCTTTAACTCGCAACAGCGACGGATGTTGAACGGAATGCAAAAAATGATCAAAAACCTTTTCGGTGTCTATGGTGATTTTTTTTCTGGAAATATTTCTGTGCGATTTTTTAACCTGCCTGTCTGATTTTACGCGTTGGTCTGATTGTTGAGTATTTATGGTGTGTTGCGGTTGTTTGTGTTGCTGCTGCTGTTGTGGTGGTGGTGGTGAAGCTCTTTCGACATCATGCTGACAGGAGGATGGAGTCGATGAACAGGTTGAGGCAATCAGTCGGCTGGTAGACATATTTCTAATTTTTTTTCAAACTCTGAACAATTTCAATATTTCCTAATTAAATAAATGTTATTTTTAAGTTTACGTGATTTAAAAAACAAAATTTTTCCTTTATCAAAAATTACACTTAAGTGTTAACCACCATGACAACAAAACCACAACCACCACAACACAACAGCCACCACTGCCACACACACAACAGTCACAGCCTCCACACAACAGCCACCACTGCCACAGAACAGCCACAGCCACCACACAACAATACATCAATCAATACACAAAAGCCACCACCACACAGCACGCAAACGCAAACACACAGGCATTCACTCTTGCCAATACATCCATTCGCATCCGGTTGAGGTCATTAACTTTTAATACCTGGCGCCAGGCAATCTGCATAATTTGATAAATGGCTAAGCGCTGAGGTGAAATTGACGTCAACGCATACATGTTAATTTATGTTAATGTACGCTCATTTACGTTAACGTACGCCGTTTTATGTTAATTTTGGCCAGCGACCTTTGACCCGACACTAATGTCCACAATCGCGTACGTTGGCAGATATTTGTACTCACACTCACAAACACACACACACGCAAACACACATACACCACACACACAAACACATAAAAACTCACACACACAAATAAAAAACATTGGCAGAATGATGCTTTTATATGTAATTGCATACGCGTATTTGACTAACAACAAAAAACATCAACAACATCAACAACAACACCAACAACAACATCAACAACAACATCAACAACAACACCACCACAAACAACAACATCTATAACAACATCAACATCATCAACATCAACGACAACAACATCAGCAACAACATCAACAAATGCATCAACAACAACAACATCAACAACAAAATCAACAACAACACCAACAGCAACAAAAACATCAGCACAACAAAACAATAACAATAAAACCGCCATAAATAGAGAAGACGTGCCTATACTGACGTATGAAACTTTCCTCCCCATTCTCTCTCACAGGGCACTATTGGTCCAATTTCTTTAATAAGTAAGTAGGAGAATGTTTGCTCTGAATGATGAGCAAACAAGGTGGATGACAAATGAAGCGCTATATAAATTATAATACTCGACCGCTGATTGGTTGGTTGATTGATTGAAAAGTTGATTGATTGGATTGATTACAAAGATTAGCCGATTGATTGCCAAATGATTGCTTGGTTGATTGACTGGTTGATTGATTGATTGATTGATTGATTGATTGATTGATTGATTGATTGATTGATTGATTGATTGATTGATTGATTGATTGATTGATTGATTGATTGATTGATTGATTGATTGGTTGATTAATTGATTGATTGATTGATTGGTTGATTGTTTGGCTAAGCAAGATAATTCACTTAGCAGGTTGAAACAAAAGTTGTTCGATTGTGGTTGTGGTTTTCGCAGCATAGACGTTATTCGAAGGACACATTATCCAATGATGGTTTATTTTGTTTTTTGAATGGAACTGTACACGCAGTGCAGCGCAGCATTAATGAACCGTGTAACATACGCCTGCTTCATGGTCCCTGTTAATGTTGTTACAGTTGTTATTATTGTTAACGTTAGTGATATTGTTAATGATTTATAATCTCAGAGAGATATAAAATGCTATTTCTATTTTAACGCAGATGTCTATGTATGCCTATGTATGCCTATGTATGCCTATGTATGTCTATGTATGCCTATATATGTCTATGTATGCCTATGTATGCCTATGTACACCTATGTATGCTTATGTACACCTATGTATGTCTATGTATGCCTATGTATGTCTATGTATGCCTTGTATGTATGCCTATGTATGCATCGTATTCTACCTCACTAGCGGTTTCACGTACGTGTAGGTTTTTAACGTACGCAAAATGTATTTATGCGCGTAAGTATGTATGTGTATACGCCTATGTATGTATGTATGAGTGTGTAGGTATGTATGTATGTATGTGTGTTTTAGTGTGTAGGTATGTATGTATGTATGAATGTGTGTGTATGTGTGTGTTTGTGTGTATGTATGTATGTGTGTGGAGAAATGCTTCATAATGAATCTAACAGCTGTCCTTCACTGCTCATCCAGGGCATTACTTGAAAGTGTGTGTGTGTGTGTGTGTATGTATGTATGTGTGTGTGTGTATGTATGCATGTATGTGTATGTGCATGTGTGTATGTTTGTTTGTTGGTGTGTATGAGTATGTATGTATGAATGTATTGTAGTTTTTTCAAATTATTTAATTTGGGCAAAAAAAATATGATCAATTTTATTTAAATTTTTTCGTTTTTTGTTCACGAAAAGGATTTTCTTTATATTGGTTTTTAGCTTTCTCTCTCTCTCATTTTCTTTCTCTCTCTTTCCCTCTTTCTCTCTTTCACTTTTTCTCTCTTTCTATTATTATAACTATCTATCCATCGTCATAGAACATTGGCGGAATCCAACGTTAATCTATACTGTGTCTCGTATCGATATAGCATACCTCGTTACATTTGGCGTCGTCTCGAATTGTCTCGTTTCGTTCTAAACAACGTTCCAGTATCGTATCGTTTCGTTTCAAAATAATAACAATTAACGTTAACTAGCTCTGCTCTTTCAAGCATTCTGTATGGTGGTCCATTTATTGGGGGTCGATAATTTTTGTCTTTGCATTTTTAAGTTAGTTGTTTATTAATTTATCTATCTGTTTGTTCGTTCGTTCATTTGTTCATTCTTTTAATTATTCATTCATTCATTCATTCATTCATTCATTCATTCATTCATTCATTCATTCATTCATTCATTCATTCATTCATTCATTCATTCATTCATTCATTCATTCATTCATTCATTCATTCATTCATTCATTCATTCATTCATTCATTCGTCTATATACAATAGCTTAGTAATTCGTTATATCATTTAATGGTTTTATTTTTATGGATTCTCTATTCATTCACAAATTCTATCATTTATATTTTATTAAATTTTTTAGTCTGTTTGTTCATTTGTTTGTTCGTTCGTTCGTTTGTTCACTCATTCGTTCATTCATTAATTCGTTCATCCAACAATTACTTCATTGGTCTATCATTAATTTCCTTACCAACGTTTGTTTCCATGGATTCAATGTCTGGAAAATATAATTTAGAAATGTTTCTCTACCAATTATACAAGTTATACATTCATTTAAAAATTGTTTCTATACAAATTATAGGCTTAGTATTATACTTTCAAATTCACACTCGATCAATTAGTGAAAATGAAAAGACCAATTTTCATCTAAGTCTGCTAATTCGGATAAGATACAAAAACAAGCAAGCAAGCAAACACACACACACACGCATACACACACACAAGCATACACACAGACACATAAGCAGACATACGTTAAACTTCTCACGTACATACCGTCACGTACATACCGACCTATGCAGTTTTATAAAAACCAACTCAACCACTTAATGCAGCGTTCAATGAACAACAACCAGGTTTTATCCAAAAAAAACTCTAAAACACATCTCGACGACACACAACAGTGTTAAACCATACCTACAAGACTAGACTACACCAGACCACACACAACCACACCACACACACAACCACACGCTACACACAACCACATCACGCCACACACAACCACAGCAAGACCACAACATGCAACAACACTCCAGTCCAAACTGTTACTACTGTTTCAATTACTTTGAACAAAGTTCATTGCCATCTTTCCTATCAGGTAAGCTTAACACGCACGCACGCACAAACACACACGCATACGTTGTGCACACAATCTGTTGGGAGTGACTCAAATAAAAGATGTGTGTATGTTTGTATGTATGTGTACGTGTGTGTATATGTATGTGTGTTCATGTGTGCATGTATCGATTTTATTAAAATAATAATAAAAATTTTCAAAAACAAACACAAATTAAAAAATTTTCCGCCGAAGTGAGCATAAAGATGAAATAAAATCAATTCAATCGACACCAGATGTGACTAAACAATTGTTTTCCGCGTAACAAACAAACAATTGAACAACACGTGTTTCACATAATCACACACACATTTACAAACACACAAACGCACACTAACTCACTCACACACACACAAACACACACACACAATGCCACATAGCGCGTTAACCTCTATGATGATAAATGACGCTAGATCTACTGTCTTTGCGTAAATTAACATTGCGTATAAACATCAATTATCAATACATACAACACCACGGTCGTTTAGTTCAATAACATTGCTCCGTTTACACTATAAACATCGGCGTGCATAACTAGCTTGAAATATGAGTCTATTCTCCTATGTCACGCACGCACACGCACACAAACACACATACACAAGCACACATAAACAAATAAGCAAGAGAGAGAGAGAGAGAGAGAGAGAGAGAGAGAGAGAGAGAGAGAGAGAGAGAAAGATACATTGTTTAATTACGACATTTTTATATTTTCCGTAAAACCGAGTTTGTTTCACCTTAATATGGCGACGTACATCAATCCACACGTACACGCACACACGCACGCACGCATACATACGTTGCGCTTGTTGGACGATGAACAATGGTTTATTTTTAGACCTATAAGCAAAAATATCACCTTGACTTTGAGCGTTAAATATCATCAACCCATACATACATCTATTATGTACAATGACCCTCAGTTGGTTAACTAGTTAGCCAAGGCATTGGTTTGTCTATCTAACAACATAGTCAGGTTCTTAAGAACGTGTAAATTATTTCAGACGCGCAAACAAAGAAAATGAAAACAAGGAGTAGATAGTCAGATATAAAGATAGAGATAAAGAGAGAGAGAGAGAGAGAGAGAAAGAGAGAAGAGAGAAAGAAAGAGAGAAAAAGAGCGAGAGAGAGATAGTCGCACACTTCAGTAGTAAACCACCTGAATATTTTATTTATCACACATTCATCATCATAAGGAGAAATTTTATTTATTACTGTTGTTATTATTATTATTGTCATCAAAATTGTTATTATTATTGTTATAATCATTGTTATCAGTGTTACTGTGATAATTGTTATTATTTGTATTGTGATATACATGTAAGTTTAATTAA